TTGTTGTGAATTGTTTCCATATGTTTGGTTTGTGATTGAATATGTGTTACTATTATGATTCATTATATGTGGTTGTGATGGTTTTCACTGGTGCGTGAATTTAGGTTGCTTTATTTTTCCGAATATAACTCAACTAATTTTCCTTAAACTTATCCAAATTTCTCTATAACTATACTAATATGGCTCTAATAAGTTTAGTATCACTTTTCCTATGTGACTAATTGTCCAAATAGATTGCTTTTGGTTGAATCTATTATCATGTAACTTAAGTGTCATCCGAGTATAACGTAAGTATAACTCAATAAATTTTTACCAAATTTATCGAAACTTTTCTCTAACTATCCACATATAATTTTAGGATGTTTAATATCACTTTTTTTATTATTTTATTTTAGGATGATTAATTATCCTAATAGGCGACTTATGTTTTAACTCGAGTATAACTCAAGAAAATTTCATCAAACCTAACCACACTTCTCTATAACTATCCTAATATGATTATAGTATATTTAGTATCAATTTTTTAAATTTTTCTAATTTTAGGGTCATTAGTTGTCTTTTATAAATATCATACTATGATTAATCATCCGAATAGGGGATTTATGTTTTGAATCTAAGTGTAACTTAAGAAATTTTCATCAAACCTAACCAAATTTTTGTATAACTATCCTAATATAATTCTAATATGTTTAGTATTTTTTTTATTTTCTTTGATGTTTAGAATTATATAATTCTACTATGTTTAGTATTTTTTTATTTTCCAATATAAGTTTTGAAAATGTATGGATCAAAATATTAAATATAATTAATTATATAAGATAATTTGTAATTGACCCTAGTAGAGTATATGTGTAGAGAGGGATAAAGAGAAAAACCATTCATTTCAGATGGATATAAATGAAACTTGGTTGAGAAATGAATTAATTTTAATAATCGATATGTCAGGAAAAATAATTAAGATAAAATAAAATGAAAATATCAGGTGGTGTAGATTAAAGGTGTAGTATATCGACTAAAGGACACGTGTGGCAAGAGCGGTGCTCGGCGAGAGGGCGAGAGTGGATAAGATCCGGGTGGGACCGACCGCATCTTTCACCACTGGTGCACGATTGTGGAGTAGAAATCTTACTGTGTGACACAGATTTCGTGTGTACATGTTATAATTTCTCAAGGAAAATAAATAAAAGGCTATTTTTCATATTTAATTTGTTTTCATTATTACTGCCTTGTATATTAAGTAACAAAAAGATATAAAATAGGATAGATACATTAGGTTTGCAGATTACTGCAACTCGGAAAAGATCATATTTAGTTAGATTAATTATTAATAGGATAGGCACTGTGGGTATAGAAGTCATTCCCAATTCATTCATAAATTCCATGCAATCTTTAAATAAAACAGGTTTTCTAATTCTTATGTTCCATATTAACAAGCAATATTTTTTTTTGTATATCAGGTTTGAGTTTACGAATGAATGAATGAGCGTTTTGTATATCATTTAGTGTAATGTTTTTTTTATTTTTTTAAACTTACCATATGATTCTTGTTTAATCACGAAAAAGGTGATATATTTTTTATACATTCATCCTTTTTTTTTTCCCAGAAAATTTTGAATAAGTTTTCAGATTAAGTTACAATGAGCATAGTAAATTGGACCAACAATTGTAACAATCCCCTTGATTTTAAGAGAGATATGATGTATTTATAGAAATAAAATATAACTTTCTAGTTGAATGTCTAATTATAATCCTAGTGCTCCAAGCGATTTAAATCTAATTACCAACCATTTACACGAAAGATCTCATATCACTCTTAAAAGTCCAATGCTACTTATTGAGTTAGGATATTTGGACTCTATTGGCAAATGTTATCAGTTAGAAGTCGTGTCATATAATGGAGTTGATCACCACTAAGAGATTGTGCAGTCCTTCTTGTCTCGTCTCATCTCATCTCGACGATCTTGAAGTTGCCAAAGAATATGCTTACCTTGTAGCTGATGAGTACACACATAAATAAGAGAGAGATAGAGAGAGAGAGAGAGAGAGAGAGAGAGAGTCATTGAACTTTGGTTCACATATTCAGGTGTTGATCATCGTGTACAATTTTGGATTACAAAATTTATTTTGACCTTTTCTTCTCCATTTCTGTGAAAATTATATAGTTTGACAAAGATATACATATAGTTTGAGAAATGATAACTACTCATATAGTATTAAAATATAAATTGATAGACTTAAGTATGTAAACAAATATGAAGGATAACAAATTACAAAGGTTATTTTTAAATTTTATCTGCATCTGGTTATAATATATATAGTATATATGAATAAATATTGATGAATTGAAGTTGAGTCTGTTGATTACCCACATCCAAATCCAAGAAACTAACAGTAGAAAAAGGTACAAATCAAAATGATCATGTCTGCCACCTACGTGTGTTTAATCGATGCCTAACCATTGGATTAAATATAGATGATGATATGACTCGTTTTGGATCAATTGAGAATCCAGACTTGCACCCCAATCAACAATATCCTGAGAAAATATTATTTAGGGTATCTCTTATTTCAAGAATATTTTTCTTACTTTTTTTTTTCTGTAAATAAGAGTTGTTCTAAATTTATGACTTTATTTTTAACCTCACATAAGATCTTGATACTGACTTAACCATTAGAATGTATTAAATAATAATAATAATAATAATAATAATAATAATAATAATAAAATCAAAACCAAATACAGGCAAAGCATATCTAAAATCACACCCAAGATATATATAACATGATAAAACTCTTAATTGGTAGATAGAAATATTAACGAACAAACTAAAAAACATTTACAGTAAAAGTTGAGAGTATAAACTTCTCACTAAGGATAAACAAGATATATTCTCTCTTATAATAAAATAAACAGTGCAAGAGAAACTCATAAATGGAAGAAATGAGAAACCAAATGAAATAGAATAATAATTCTTCCTCTTCTCACTTGTCTTTTTTTTTTTTCTCCCTCAAGAGTATATCTCTCTTGATGTACTTAGCAAGGCTTCTTTGATACTTAAATTAATAGAAAGTTCAAAGATCAATTTTTATGTAAAGAGTTCAAGGTGTTCAAACATCATTGCGCCCTCCTTTCGTGGGCTTTGAGTTTGGTATTAACATGGAATATTTTTTTTAGATTTAATATTGATTAGGTATGCTTGTATGGTGGCACCTCTTAGACTAATTGATCTTAGTTAAAGTCATGTCATCACTTGGCTAAAGGGACCTTCGTAGCTAACTATTATGTCAAACCATGACCTATTATTTTTATTATGATTGGATGTCATATATTCTAGTTGGTGTCATATCATCATCAATCGCCTATTCGATACAATCATTGACTTGGAAACTCATTTGTGCTGTGAGGTTTATTTGCTTTGAAGTATAATGTTTGATTCCAGACCTCAATTATTTCTTTCTTTCTTTTTTTTATGTGTAAATAGTAAGTGGTGAGACTGAGATTCAATCCTCCGAACATGATATCAAATAAAATAAGTAGGTTTGCCTTAACCATGACTATCATTATTTGCATCTAAAGCTAGTTAAGTGGTACTTCATATGCTTTTATCTTAAGCATATGTATTGTACAAAAGGATGCTTTGGCAATAGGAACTTCCAATTATATAGTTGAAGACTTATCAGGTTCTATACTTCCACCACCAATCGTGTCAGTAATTGATTGATCATTGACATGATTAACTTGGACTTTACCATGACACTCGACACATATTCTGATTGAGGTAAAAATAGAAACTCTCAAATGTGGTTATGGAGATATTAGTTTATATGCTTTTACTAGTTGTGTCAATTGTGGGAGAACCAAGATAAAAGTCTATATCATCTCAGTAAGAGTTTCAACCTATTGGGTGAGGCCAAGGAAGATTTTAGTCTTTGGTAATTTAAATTATATTTTTTATTTGGAAAGTAATTTCATAACAATTGAAGACTCACTTATGATGGTGAGTTTGAGATTGATCATTGCAACAAAATCTAAGTCGAGAGAGACATCTCTTTGTATAATTATTCTTGTAAGATATTTAAAATTTAGTTCTTCCATAATAATTTTTTGAAGGCATTCTTTTAATGCCAATCTAATACTATCAATCTTGATTATCAACCTAGCATAACGCAACTCATCTTTTGAATATTATTATCTTTTGAATATTATTGCTAGGAGACCCTCCAATGGTCAAACTAATACTTGTTCATCTCAACTGTGTTTAGTGAGTTTGCAATTGAAACATGCTTGAAAAAGCTACTTGGTATAATGTTTGTTATACAACTTTTAATAAGGAAATATTTTCCTTGGATATCATGCTAATATGATATATATATATCTAGTTGGTGCATGATTTACTTGTTCCCATGTCAAATCTTAATTAGCTAAAAATAATGATCATAATCTCCTTGAATCTTATAATAAATTTAAAGATAATTTTCCACTATTGAAATTCTTTTGAATGATTTCAACTTTTCATACGTGATCTTAAACTATTATTTTTGTTTTCTTTTGAGAGCCATTCTATTATTTATTTTGTTTCTTTACTGAACCTATAATAGCCGTGATGTGTGTAGTACGCTTTGCACCTTTTACAATGTAGTTCAAATTTTGCGCTCAGGCTTTGTTTAGAATTAAGTTGCTAAGTGTATTAAGGTCAAGTTTATTGTTCGAGGCATAAATTTATCTCAAGAGATCAGATCTGGATTCCTTTTTTTTCTTTGTGAAGGTGGAAATCAGCTGCCTTGAGTTCAAATTTTATATTTTGATTATGTTTATGTCTTAATGTAAATAATATTTTAATCTTTTTTATTCAGATATTTTGCTAGAATGTAGTTTGGGTGTGTGTAAACTTTTTCATTCCTATTGAGTTCAAGTTGCATTTTGATTTATATCTTCTTCTTGCAAGTGCAATTCTCAGGCATCTTAAATCTCAAAATTGCCTATTATTCTCATCGAATAAAGAACAAGAAAGTCTGTCAGCAATTGAAAAAGACTGAGAGGAATGGATACGAAGGAGAGAGAAGACACAAGTTGGCTACAAGAACATGAGGTAGGAGAAGGTAGGGTCTGGTGTTGAGGGATTAAAGGGCATACTGTACTCACCACCACCACCACCACCACCACCACCACCATATCCCCACATCTCCTGTGACCCTCCACAAGTATAATTGTCAAAGCAGTTGCCATTAAAGAAGGGCTCCAACCTCAGCCACTAATAAATGGATGAAAGCCCCAACACATCACAGTTGTGCCAAGTGCATTAACTCCGAGGCATGTGACAAACCACCCTCAGATTGCAACCTCTGCTACCTCAGCAGATTTATGATGGTGTGAGATGAACAAACCCCACAAGGAAACAGTTTGAATTTTGAAAAGGCCACTAGCTATGTGGATCTCTTCTGCATCACATGAGCACAATGATGGATTCCTTTGTTTCACCATAAGGTGAAGAAGGTTTGTGTTTCATGAGCTCCTCCACTTTCTTAGCTCTTGATGAGAAAGGGATTAATTGAGAGGAAACTATTGCATCTTCTTTTGGTTTTCCTCTTCGAATGTAAGATGTAAATGAGAAACAACAACTGTTAAGCATTAATAGAATCATATTTAAACATGAATTGAGGCTCCTAACTTGTGGATAAAAACTTGGGCAGCACATCGATTGCCCTCACAATCATTCTGGCTCCTTTTTCAAGTTAACACAATCACAATCACAATCACAATGCTTTGTTCGAAGATCCCTTTAAATCTAAGAAACTTAATCTTAACTAGCAACTGTTCATCCTAATGTTTGAAGGGATTTATATATCCCTCATCAAATCAATAATATTGTTTGATCTTTGTATACTCCAGTCAACGATGACATGGATCTTATCTGTCTTACCAAGGAATATTACTGATATTTATATGATAATATCTAGAAATCAAAATGTTTCAAAAGAAAAGAAAAAAAAAAGTAGATAAAAAGTGATCAAATCTTTTTTAGTTTGCATCGGTTTGCACAGAGCTAGAAAAAAAATTATGAACTATGGAATTAATAGTAGATTGGTCCAGATTTTGATAACTCTCAAACCAGTTTGCTTACATTAGTCTAATATGTCCAATAATATTGTTGAAAATATCATCTTAATTTTGTGGCTTTCAAGTATAATTAATTGATCAACTCATGCATTCAATGAAACCATGATAATCTATTAAAATGAAGCGATTATAACATCAGAGCAAACAAAAAAAGGCTAATTTTCTTTTAAAATCAAACTGATGCACCATTTCTACTTAGCAATACATACCAGTTTTAGCCTGTGGTGAGAACATATACATGAGAATTCATCAATTTCATTAAGGAACATGCAAGTGGAAAATTTCTGATCTATAACCAAATGATCTTTAACTTCTGTTTCTTGATCTATTTTTCTGGAATGTAAGAATGTTAAGCAAAAAACTATCATATATTGTTGATATTAGAGTTGATTACCAACCTTGTTCTGCCTTCCTACCAGCCAAAGCAACGTTCTTGCAAACGAGGGTGCCTCATCAGCCGGAGATCGTACTCTATTGGAGCTTCCTACCTCCGCATCCAGATCTACTTCACTTGAGCTCTTCTCCCATGTCGAAACGTTGAATTCAGATGCAGTAGCAGCAGGGCTGGCACGGCTCTTCAGCTTTGATTCATCGGTCATCACCGCCCGATGCAATGGCAACCGGAAAGATAATGCTCGCCGGGAAGAGTCATCGGCCATGGGCTTCTCTTTCTTGGACCGAAGCCATATCTTGGAGACTGAGAAGCTTTCTTTCTTATGCTGATTGCGGCTAATACTAGCATTACCACCACCATCTCTGAACTCGGCAGCTCTTAGTGCATCCAGTCCTTTAAATGCCTCCCTTTTTGAATGGTAATCACATTCCGAGATTGCATCCCGGTGCCCGGGCCTGTGGACGATTGGTTTCTTTGGTGGCTTAATGGGAACCTGAAGCAAGGACCTCTCATCCATCACATACTCATAGGAACCCATGGAGAAGCACCTCCTCTGGTCCAGAGTACTGTTTGCAGTGCTACTGCCTTCACCAACAGCTCCATCACCATCCACACTCCTAAACTTGCCGAGCTTGACAGGTACTACCTCTGTTTCATCAGCCTCTGAGGCTGCCACTACCGAGCGAGCTTCTTCCTTTGCAGTGATCTCCACTGGCTTTTGTGAAGTATCATTGATAGAAGTCCCAGGGCCATCATCATCTCCATGACAAACAAGACCAGTATTAGAGAAGGAGTCCCCCCTCTCAGAAACACTCTCCCTTGAACTCTCACTCCCAGACTCAAGAACAAGGAGTAAGGGGCTACAACTGGTTGGAGGAGAGAAGTCAGGGTGGAGGCTTCTTCTGCAGAGGGGGCAGGTGGAGTGGGACAAGAGCCAAGTATCTATACACTCTACATGGAAGGCATGGCTGCACTTTGGGAGCAGCCTGAGCTTGTCATCAGCCTCAAACTCACAGAGGCACACAGCACAGTCAAATGGGTCCTTGAGGCCGATGATGGCTTTGTAGGGAAAGACTGGGAGGGTGTCTATGAAGGACTGGTCGACCCCTGCATCATGGAGATGGAACAACTGCTGCAACTGGCCCTGGAGTGCTGTCGAGTTCTCTGTGGCTTCTGGTTCCCTGTTGATGGGTCTCAGGAGGTATCTCACAAGTAGGTGGAGCAGCCCAGAGATGAAGAAGATGATTGCAAGTATGATAATTATCAGGAGAATACTAGGACTGATCCTATTCTCGATATTAACAACAGGAGGAGGTGGAGGGGGTGATGGTGGTGGTGGGAGGACTGCTAATGGGAGTGAAAGAGGATATGGAGAAGAAGATATCCCCCTGATGCTTTCATGAAACACCCAGTCCATGCTTCGTTAAGGCATACGAAGTGGGAAACATGAGAGAGAGAGAGAGAGAGAGAGAGAGAGAGAGAGAAAGGGAGAGAAGAGACTCACCAGGATCACCACTGTCTCTGAGTTCCAGACTCTCTTAGAATTGCTGCTGGAGTGAGCATTCTTTTGATCTCTGCAGGTGGTAGGAGAAGCAAATTTTCAGGTCAATTTGAGGAAGATGGGGAGATGGGATCCTTAATGGCTGGAGAAATTAATGGGGTGCCAGGCAAATGAATTGATTGCATTGAAGAGAGGAGGTGAAGATGAGATCAGTACAACAGAGAAACCAGCTGGGTGAATGGAATTGGTCAATTGGGTGGAGTTTTGTACATGTAAAAAGTCCTGATATATGAATGAGTAGGTACCTTCTCCTAACCCTTCCATTGACCCTTCCACAAACTTATGGAGCAGTCTCAATGCCTAGAACAAGGTTTGTCTCAGATTTAACTACTTGTCATTTACTTGCAAAGTGCTGCATACTTCCACCATTCGAGGTGAGTTGCATGCTGCTGCCCTTTTGTCTTTTCTCATAGATGGTACAGAGCTTGCCAAAGGAGAGCATGGAATTGTGGAACTGTCTTTGTCTTTGTCTTCTCTTGCTGATGCATCTAAGATTGCTGTAGTGGGATAGAGTGGGGAAGCCATGGACTCTTCTGTGTTTGTAGAGGTGAGGACTCGGGAATGTGGAGCCCAACAATGGGACATGGTTGGTGGTGATTAGTGGCTCTGAGTGGGAGATGGAATTGGATATTGGGATCAACAGCTACACACCACATAGCATGTGGCAATTGACATCTTGTCTTGGAATTCCTCATCTTTAGCTCATGACACTGGATCACTCCTCTGCCTGCCATATTATTTCTAAGAGACAGATTTCAGAGCTTAGAAAAAAAAAAAAAAAACACACCAAAGTGTTCAAACAAATTTCAAAATTTTGTTTGAAATTTATTCAGGCCACTACTTTTACTGTTTCCAAATTGTAAATTAAGCTATATGGTTTGCAAATTCAGAAGTACAAACATTGATACAATGATAATTGCTCTTTTGCGATTCCGAAGATCCATGTTCGAATTTCGAAAACAACCTCTGAATAAATATAGATGTAAACATGCAATCCTTTTACACTCATTTCCAAGCAATAAAATACATGAAAATGATGGATACAGTGACAGATAAACTTATGGTGCTCAATGAATCCACAAAAGCTCAGTTTTGTGATGCTCAAAACTCCACAAGAACCCGGATGGGTTGGACCTTTTGTAAGTTGTGAAGTTAAGGATTTTATGTCACCTAGGACTTGTGTTCTTGCAACAAAACTCTCATGGGAGAATTTGGTCCTTCATGAGGAAAAGGATAGCACTGCTCGTCTCCTGTTTTCTTCAACACCACAAGAGAAACCTACCTTTTTTAACAACTACTGTATCATATTAGCATCAAGAAGAAGGTTACATCAAGAATAGTTTACACTTCTTTTTCTTTAGAGTAATGTTTAGAAGACAAGATACAATCATCTAAATTGATTTGGACATGTTCTAGAGAAACCTACAGGTTATATAGTTAGATAAAATGAGATAATTAATATCAGTAGTATGAAAAAGGTACAGAAAGACATAAAGAAACCTAATTAGAACTCAATGATGGAAAAGAAAACAGATAACTGATCTCAAATAGTTGTTACTGTTGTTGTTGTTGTTATTGTCTTGTTTTATGCTTCTTTGATGACACTGAGGTTCTTCTGTGTACAAAATAACTATTTAGATGGTGCAAGAAGAAATGGAATATGCTCTTAAGTTCTTACATGCATGTAATGCTTGATAAAATACATTACAAAGTACAATAATTGTTCCTAATAATCTAATAGATTAGCAGAAAGGTCAATGCTTAGTAGCTTATTATATCTTGAATGACGAAAGCATTGACTGCAATTGGAACTCTCTCTTCGTTTGTCCAAATTGATTAAGTTAGATAATGTGTCCTAACCAAGCCAAGCATTTCAAAAGGCTTTGATCATCTAAAATTAAAAATTATATGAGCCAGGACAATCAAAGATCTACCCAATAACACTTCATATGAGCTGGCATTATATCACAATTTTCCAAAGGTTACAGTTTCTAGACAAGGTTGAAATTTTTGACCAAAGATTTTCAAACTGATTTTTCATCAGGCTTTTCTTGATTGATGCCCCTTTTTCTTTTTCTCCATCAGTGGCCTCATTTTTCCTATATCCTAAAAATGTTCCTGATACAATAGACTAAAAGATATCCATCCTTTGTATTGAAGTGATCCATAGGGTGAATCATGTTTTTGAATACGATTATAACATCTTTGACATCTTCATAACACTAATTATAGGGTTACAATGTTTCTGCTATCTCTCTTTGACCCCTTTGTATAACAGTAATTAATTATTTGACGCCATTTGGATATGAAAAATACCTTTAAGCAAACAAATACAATAATAGTAGGGGGAAGAAAAGGCAAAATTAAAGACATTTTTCATATTAAAATCTTTAAAAGACTATATTCCTCAATTCATGCAAATCTCCCACAACAAGTACACGCATAAATCACATTCACATGAGTTAATGGAACTGTTAAACAAGATGAGGACGCCATACATGAAATAAAATAATAATTTAAAGGATAAATTTTGGCTCTTTTTAGGAGATAAGTTTTTGAAACAAAGACTGATTCATCCGCAGGATGCATGTGTAAGATCAAAAGTCGTAGTGCAAATCATGCTATGCCATCGACGACAGCTTTTAAGAGACCTAGCGACTAGGAATCGAAACCAAACCAACATCAAAACACTCCGAGATAGGAACATTGGAGACATTGATGAGAAAGCTCAGCCCAAGACATCGATTAGGAACAAATAAGAAGACCTAGAACCATCAGTAATGGTTGAAATGAAAGCAAAAAATAGATTTTGATTGCTCTTGGATATGGTACTCATCAGCAATGCCCGATTAAGAGAAGAACAAAATCACTTATTAGTGCTTGAACTGACGTTGAGAGATAGAGAGGGAGAGAAGAATCGATGGATCCGATTACCCCCGCCATCGGAAGACCCCCGAGCGAAACAGGGGGAGAACGAAAGCTCTTCGAATGCAATTCCGCGAAACGGCGGGCGGTTACACAGCGGACGCAACTAAATAGGAGAACAGGTCCATTGTGAGATCGAAACCATCTATAGCAATCGATGCTAATAAAAACGGGCCCGTCATATAGGTCCTAGATGTAACTTGGGCCCTAAATGGGCGTAGAGGATCCATTAATAAATCAAGGTTAAGCTTCAGGACTTATTTCAAGTGGAGCTTAAACTTCCAATCAATGATGGTTAAATAATTTTCGAAATTGGTGATTTATTATAAATTTTATCGGGCCCTTTTTTAGCTAAATCATGTAATGAACTTATAGATTGGTTAGTCCGGTAAGATCATTTAGTCTTGTAAAGACTAATTTAATCCACGTAACTTGGTATGTTCAAAAAAGTAAAAGAGGCAACATAAATAAATAATTTTTCACGAATTTTACAGCTGGATATAACGAGGCGATGCGGCAAGACACGTCGACGAGGCACGAGTACCGTACGATTCATAAACGAGAGGCCATGCGGCCCATCGCTGCCGTCCGTCGCGGTGAACTCCACCGGGATCTTCGTAGGGATTCAAGGGAATATACTTATCCGACGCACCCATCAGAATGATACTCAACCATGCAACGACACTGTTCCGCCACCAGGTTGGTGACTCGCAAATAACAAGTGGGCCCCAAGGAGCAACCAGAAAACAGAGAGGTTATCTGGGGTGACGATCGACGGGTGCCGACTTGTTTTTATGACAAAAGCCTCGCAACAACGCCAATAAAACCAAGATTCGACCGGTATTTATGAGAACGCCACTGTGAGTCCCAATTCGCTCCATCGCCTAGTAGCGGAATTGGAGATCCAGTGGTGGATTCGCTGCCAAATTTAGAAAAGCGCCTGTTGGATGATCGCCGACGACCCAAAATTTCCTGCCGCCGAGAACAGCGAGTGACGCTTCGAAGAAGAGAACGAGTAAATGATCCTTCTTTACGAGCTCAAAAAAAGAATAGAATTCGAGTGTGATTGATTATTCATCGTCAACCGAGAATAAATGGATCTGATGAGGGTAATAATGGCGATAAGACTTGGGATGACGTCTCACGCCTCGATCGACCCTACAACACTTGATCAAACGGATCAGAATGTCGACCGAGGCGCATTAACGTCCTACTCAGGCTCGGTCCTTCACGCCACACCAACACCAGTGTCAGACGCTACCAGGAGTACGAGCCTGCCCCTTGCAAGCAAGCACATCAGGAAACAGTAAACTTTCCTATAAATACCCTCGCATTCTAAACGGGAAAGAGAGGAAGAACAACGAATAAACCCCCTGCGACTATTCACTGACTTGATTGTCAGAGGGGTCGGGTCGAGCTCTCCCAACTCGACCGGTGTGCAGGTGCAAAGGCGGAGGCCTCCCGCTAGACGCCCAGGCGAGAAGCCCCCTCTCGGAGGAAACGACGATCCCGTTCCGATCGGACCACCGTAGCCGGCCACGTCAGCAGTCTCGAGGAACGTCCCAGGGAGATCCCCGTCATCCGGACCCGAACCAAGCCGCGTCGGCCCCGAGGTCACGGCTCAACGATTGTTTCCACTATGCGCTAGAAGAAGGGCCCGAATGTCAAGGGATCGCCCGATCGACTCAGACGAGCTCGCGGCTGAGGGGTCACACCCGATCGGCGCTTTGGGGGAACACCTCCCTGCGACCTCAGAGCACCATTGGCGGTTATTTAACGACCCGAGATGGTCGCCACCCGAAGGAGCCCCAGCCGACCCGTCGCCCGTGTCATCCGAGGCCTTTCAGGACCTCGCTCATCAAGTCCGAGCTCTGACGGGTATGGTGCAAACCATTATCCGGTTCGTTTCTCATCCGGCACACCCGCCTGTGATCCAACCACTGCGGCAACATGAGCCACCTGTTCAAGCCCGCACACCACCTCAGGAGCTTCCCGCTTCACCTCGGGTCCCATTGGCCCCACTCGGGGATCGAGTGACGGCGAACCCGAGGGGCCACTCGGAACCCGATGCACTATCTTCAGATCCTACCAACTCTCTTCGAGTCCAGTTGTGCTTCATCAGCCAGCGACTGGACGAGGTGCAAAAGGAGGTTCGCAGGTCGAGGGGAGAGCTCAGGGAGAATGCACACTAGGGATCTCCGTTCACACCTGAGATACAGGATCAGACAGTCCCCCCGAACTTCCGGCTCCCCTCCCTGGACGCTTACGATGACTCCACCGACCCAATGGACCATGTAGCTACTTTTCGTGCCCAGATGGCGCTATATGGAACCTCTGATGCTCTGATGTGCAGAGCGTTTCCCACCGCTCTGAGAGGGCCGGCCCACGCGTGGTATGGCGGCTTGAAGACCGGAACGATCGCTTCCTTCGACCAGCTCATCAAGGACTTCGAGCTCTACTTCGTGGCCTATGCGCAGCCGAAGCCTTCCGCAGCGCTTCTCCTCGGACTCAACCAGAGGGAGGACGAGCCCCTCTCCCATTTTGTGAATCGCTTTACAACATAATTC